TCCTAGTGAAATAGTGTTTCCTATATCCAACCTAGACCTCCTCCACTGCAACTTGAGACCATTGGTCCTTGTTCTGTCATCTGCCACCACCGAGAACAGCCTAGCTCCATCCTCTTTGGAATCCCCCTTCAGGTAGTTGAAGGCTGCTATCAAATCCCCCCTCAATCTTCTCTTCTGCAGACTAAATAAGCCCAGTTCTCTCAGCCTCTCCTCATAAGTCATGTGCCCCAGCCCCCTAATAATTTCTGTTGCCCGCCGCTGGACTCTCTCCAATTTGTCCACATCCTTTCTGTAGTGGGGGCCCCCTAAAAACTGGACGCAATACTCCACAATATGTGGCTTCACCAGTGCTGAATAGATGGGAATAATCACTGCCTTTGATCTGCTGGCAATGCTCCTACTAATGCAGCCCAATATGCTGTTAGCCTTCTTGGCAACAAGGGCACACTGTTGACTCCTATCCAGCTTCTTGTCTGCTGTAATCCCCAGGTCCTTTTCTGCAGAACTGCCGCTTATCCAGTCGGTCCCCAGTCTGTAGCAGTGCTTGGGATTCTTCCTTCCTAAGCGCAGGACTCTGCACTTGTCCTTGTTGAACCTCATCAGATTTCTTTTGGCACAGTCCTCTAATTTGTCTAGGTCCCTCTGGACCCTATCCCTACCCTCCAGCATATCTACCTTTCCCCCCAGTTTAGTGTCATCCGCAAACTTGCTGAGGGTGCAATCCATCCCATCATCCAAATCGTTAATGAAGATGGTATACAAAACCGGCCCCAGGACTGACCCCTGGGGCACTCCGCTTAGGCAAAAGCCTGCTCCACCCCGCCCAGAAGGCCAGAGCTTCCCTTATAAACTGTTCATTGCTGTCTGCTCCAGCTAGGAGGCTGTGGGCTAGAGATTGCTTGTACTCCGCCCTGCCTAGAAGCTGTATACCACTAAATTTGTTGTGGATATTTCAGCAATATCCACGCATACTTTTTCCATGTAAATGCCGGGGCAATCCTGCTACTGTAGGACAAAGCTCTTTTTTAAACTTTAAAAAATTTTTTTTCTAACAACCTATTGTAATTACTTGTATGTATTAATCCATTGGTTCTAGGAGTTGAAGTCTCTTGGCATTTGCTCCATTGTCAATAGCAGTGCTTACCATGAGCACTGATGCCAAGGTTTTTGAGAAAGGGCCTATATCCAGTATTTGGATAATATCTATCCCTAATTGTTTTATACTGCTACTCCTCATAGTATCTGAGTGCCTTCCATGTAAAATCAATAGCAGTGGTGAAGTCCCTAGTGGAAGAAGCAAAGAACAAAATTTCTTAAACAGATTTCAGTGGAGCTTCTTCTGTGTATTGAATACTGTCTTCTGACCTTCCTTTAGTTTAATAAACAATCGCTATTTATCCTTTGGAATCCAAACAAAGGCCTGATAAGTGATGTGTTTAATAGCACTTCCCCTTTCCCCTTCAGCCTCCTGAACGCCGCGAAACAGCTGATTG